CTGAGCCATCTCCCTGGCCTCGGGGGTAAGATCTTAATGAAGACAGCAGAAGTGACCAGAGTTAGGTCGCTGAGAGGAAGACACAGAAAGCGATGCTGATTTGAGCTCAGCTGAGTATGTGTTGTTATAAAGGCAGTAGAGAAAGAATGATTCAGAAGCAGCTTCCAGGAGTGGGGAAGATACCAGCAGTACTGGAGTCTTAAGCTGCCTGTGGTGGTGCATTTGGGAGGCTGAGGCAGGAAGATAACCTGGGTACATAGTGAGCTGAAGGCCAGCCTGAACTACATGCCTCAGAAAAGAAAGACTGAACTCTTCAGTTGTATGAGGTGTGGAGATCGATTTTGGCTTAATGAAAAGGGCCAAGCAATGTTGTAGAGAAAGGCTCTTTAATCAGGTGCTTAGTGGGAAGACGGGCCTTCACGGATGAGTTTGAGCACACAGGGAAGGATGCACAATGGGACTGAGATTCCAGAGTGTTCCGTAGAGAAGGTGGGATGGAAGGGATAATTGAATGACACGCTGGATAAGAGGAAGCTTACTGGAATTGAGATTAACATTGATCACATTATAGAAAAAGCAAATAGCTGAGTAAAAATACATCATGAGAAACAGAATAAAAGAGAATGGAATTATCACGATTTCTTATATTTGCAGCTTTACCACAGAAACTTAAAAAAATTCCAAGTTGGTGTGATGGCACATAATTATATACCCAGCACTTAGGAGGCCGAGGCAGGAGGAGTTCAAGGCCAGCTGAGGTACATACTGTGAGTTTAAGGCCAGCGTGTTCTACAGAGTTGAGACTCTGGCTCAAAAAGAGAAAGATCCGCATTTACGGATGCAGTGATAAAAGATCCCTCAGAGGACTTAAATGGCAGTGCCGCTGGCCTCCGTGTAGGGCTGTGGCACGCGATCGCCTCGTCACTGGACACAGCCTGCGTCAAAGTGTATTACGACATCCCGCCTCCCACGCACCTCAGCTTGCGAGGTGGGCGCTGTATGGTTGCCACGCGTGGAGTCACGAGAGTTGTACCCCGTGCCTATCGCTAACACGGAAAAGGACCCAAATTTGAAGGACAGTTTCTATTGAAGTTTCTGTATAAAGTTGAAATACTGTAAATCAAATCATTGTAAGTTGAGAACTGCCTTTATTTAGACCTACTGCTGTGCCGTAGTGTGCGCTGTCCACTGTCCCGTCTGCTGCCCCAAGGGACGCACCGTCCTCACGCTTTTGCGCCTTCGGGCGGTGAGGCGCCCTGCCCCGACTCAGGAGCACTGAGGGGTCGGAGGGCTCGACGAAGGGCCCTGTCTTCAGAGATCAAAGACAAATCCAGGCCTTAACCACCCGCTGTTGCCCGACCTTCCTGTCCCACGCCTGCAGTGCTGGCCTCGTCCCTCTTGCTACAGGCAAGGAGAGCGGCGGCGCCCCTGTGACTCGCCTTGGCGCGCTGGTCTCACTTTGTACTTTCCCCGAGGCCTCTGCTTGGTGCCTCTGATACTAAGAAAGGCATTCCGGTGATGAGGGTGTACCTGCTCCAGGATTTGTCCCTGAAATTATTCGTCAAGGGTGCAGAGTTTTTACATGTCCTCTATTTCTGTGGTTCACATGTATAGATCTTAGCATTTTCTTGCAACGAGATTTCATACTCAGATTTTTTCCCTGTGTTTCTGAGACAGGGCGATCATGGCTGGCCTTGAGCTCACTTTGTAACGCAGGCAGGTCTCGAACTTGGAGCAGTCCTCCTGCCTCAGCCTCCTGAGCATATTCAAGTCTTTTGAACAGAAGCCATTTGGCAGAATGTTGAATAATTCAATTTATTTGAAATGACATAATTACCTTTAAATTTGTCTGTATCACATTCTTTCACCGTCTTTTCCTAGCATGTGTAAACTGGCTGACATATACTTCCTCTGGTTGTACTTTTGACCCAAGGACACTTAGGCTTTTTTAGCTATCTGCTTTTAAAGTTTCTACATCAGTGCACGTGTTACCTACGTACAGCCCTGTGTGCTGGAAAACAGCTTCTTTAGAAAGCAGCAAGGACATTTACATAGTTCAGACTGCGTGGCTCTCTCTATATATATATATAACTCATTTAGTGAGAAGAGTCCTTATTAAACTGGAAGTCTGAAACAAAGAAAAATAAATATCAAGTGGAAGAATTAAATTTTAGAAAAACTTCGTGTCTTAGAAGAATGCCGTTCTCATCATTGTTTCCAGAGTGAGGCGGTTGTTGCCATTTTCGGAGCTGGATGATATTGGCACATAGTCGTGGCTTCTTGCTGCTCTGTTGTGGACTCTGCGTTAGCTGGAGACGGACTTTCCCATTCCTTTTCTCTTGGATGTTGGAGGCCAAGTAAGCCAAGTGGCAAAAGCATTGCAATTGCAGTATTATCTATAAGTTGGAATTATGGTGTAATTTGCTCTTTTATTTATCTTCCCAACTTGCTCCCTTTTATAATTTTTTAAATTATGAAATTATAATGCTTGACCCTGGGGAAAAGGGAACATCAGTGCCCGAAATGAGTCAC